CACCAAACAATAGTATAGAAATAGGAGGTGACAATACACAGAGGAAAGCATACAAGAAGATCCCATAGTCATCACCTATTGAAACCAATATATTGGCTGCCTTGCAGAAGGCAGTGTATTCTCTCTTTTTTTGTTCTTAACAATCTCTTTTATTCGCAAATACCCCCTTCCTCCTAGCAAAGGCTACAGGAGCAATTCAGTGGAGTGTTAGCAGCACTAAAAATCCATTACATACTGTGCTTTCACATAAAGTTTAGCTTTACTTACTCGAGGGAGGCTAGTGGGGCTGAAAAATAACCCCTGGCTGTTATCTGGCTCTGCTGCTCATCATCCCTGGAGCCAGGGGGCCCTAAGTTAGGATTACTCCCTCTCTGCCCGTCTTGCTTGGTATTGTGCTGAATGGCAGCAGCATAAGGATCAGCAAGAGAAAAGGGGGAAGAGTGAGTTGAGGACACTATTATGATAAGGTATACAGTGGTACCTCGGGTTACATACACTTCAGGTTACATTCACTTCAGGTTACGGACTCCGCTAACCCAGAAATAGTACTTCGGGTTAAGAACTTTGCTTCAGGATGAGAACAGAAATCACGTGGCGGCACAGCAGCAGCAGCGGGAGGCCCCATTAGCTACCGTAAAGTGGTGCTTCAGGTTAAGAACGGACTTCCAGAACGAATTAAGAACGTAACCAGAGGTACCACTGTATTTGGTTGTAAAGCACTTTTATTTATTTCTGAAAGTACAATGGTGGCACTTTATAACTAATACTCAAAATGCTTGTTGAGTACACGGGGGTTGCTGATACAACAGTAAAGTAAAAAAGGTAAAGGACCCCTGGACGGTTAAGTCCAGTCAAAGGCAACTATGGGGTTATGGTGCTCATCTCGCTTTCAGGCTGAGGGAGCCGGCGTTTGTCTGCAGACAGCTTTCCGGGTCATGTGACCAGCATGGCTAAACTGCTTCTGGTGCAACGGAACACTGTGATAGAAGCCAGAGCGTACAGAAACACCGTTTACCTCCCTGCCACAGCGGTACCTGTTTATCTACTGGTACTGGCATGGTTTCGAACTGCTAGGTTGGCAGGAGCTGGGACAGAGCAACGGGAGCTCACCCCATCGCAGGGATTCGAACTGCCGACCTTCCGATCAGCAAGCCCAAGAGGCTCAGTAGTTTAGACCACAGCACCACCCGTGTATTCATACATGTATCCATACATGTACATACATGTTTGTATGTATACAAGTACTCCATCGCAGTCCAGGTCAGCCCCAAAGAGCTTGCTGTCATAATAGCAGAGGTGCCATTTGCTATGCAACTTCAGCCAACATGACTGAGCCAAGTGGACCACACAGTGTGGTGCCATCACCACGACAATGGTGCAGTGCCAGGCTCCCAAATATATTTCATGGAACTGCCCTGAGCCCAGAAAAAGGAGCATGTGTGGCCTAGTCTACTAGCCTATTTAAAGCCAGTGAGACCAGGAGCCAAGGACGAGATGTCCAGGAGCACAGAACTTGGCTCTAGGAGGGGAGAAGAGCAAAAGTTAATTATGGGTATCTAGTCACATAATTCCAAATAAATATGGGGTTACAAGATGGGCCATTACTACCTGCTGGCCATTATAGCTCCTTATTAGCTGTCATTGCTGTGTCAGAGTCCTTATGACAACGACTGACATTTTGATTTATATCTCTACAGAGCAGTTCAGCTCTTGCAAGTTACCTTATTTCTTTTGGAAGCATACTTCTCAAGCACATGACAAGTTTGAAATGGGCAATAGAATTGCTTTCGAGTTGGTTCAAACACCCTCCTTTGACTCCCTAATGGGTGTTCTCCTTTTAGCCAGTGCATGAAAATATGACATTTCTGTTCAACTTATGAACAGGTGGCAATCTCTAAGCAGTTCCTGTGCAGGCAGGGCTCATCTTGAATTTAAAGGCTCTTTTAGAGGAATATGTCTTGCTTGCCCAACGTGTGATTTTTCTGAAGGTACTGTTGTGTCCTAGGAAGTGGGTTGCAGGAGGAGTATGCAACTCAAACCCTATACTGGGAATGGGAAGTGCCTCCATATCTGGAGGTGAGACAAATCATTGGCCACTAAGAAGCCTTTTCAGTTACATTGCCCCATTGTGGTAGATGGAGCAAGCTTCTTTTCCCTTGCTATTCAGGTTACAAGAAAGGAGATTCCGACTAGACTAAACATCAGGAAGAAATTTCTGACAGTAACAGCTGTTTGACAGTAGAACGGTCTCCCACAGGAGGTTGTGGGCTCTCTTTCACTGGAGGCTTTTACGCAGAGATTAGATGGCCATCTGTCATGGATGCTTTAGTTAAGATTCCTGCACTGCAGAGGATTAGACTAAATGACCCTCACCTGGCACCTATTTTCATGTCTTTTTTGATGCAAGGTGAAGCCCTTTTAATTTTCCCAGACATCTAAAAGCTGTTTTGAATTGGCTTTATTCAGCTGGTATGCTGGTATGCTTTTACTGTACTGCTTGGCTAATTATACTTCTTGGTAATTTTATTATTTTAATCTATTTCAAATGATTTGCTAGCCATTCTGGAAATAGTAATATTGAAGTGCAGGGTAAAGTAGAAGTGGAGGAGGAATGATAGTCAAGTACATTGCACAACTAGGCTTAAGCGGGGGAATGCAGTGTACTTAAACAATATGATGCAATTTACACTGATACCTGAGATTAGATTGGAATCATTTTGTGGGTGATCTCAAAAGAGTCTGCAAGCTATTGGTAGGGTGGTATCTCATAATGGAAGTGGTGTGACACTTACCTTGATGAATCCAGGACTGGGGTGTTTTCTGTTGTTTCATATTTTATTTTCTGCATAAAAAGAAATAAACCAATAATAAAAAGAGCCTATTTGGGAAGAGTTTACATAAAAAGGTTGTGAGCAATCTTATGATTGATTTTGACGTGCTAAGGATAATCATAATAAAGTTTGTGTGCTAATCAGGGCCTGCCAGCTATGAGGCAAGGTGAGGCAACTGCTTCAGGTGGCAGGATCCACAGGGACAGTAGATTCCGATGTAGGATCTTTATTTCCCCCCCTTGTTGCTGATGTAGATCTTCACTCACCCCTTCTTTCCTGGAGTGTGTGTGTGGCATTTTGTGGCTCACTTCTGGTGACAAAAGTGTCTCAGGCCAGCCCTGGTGCTTAACAGCACTACATTGGTGTAGGTATTCCCAAGGCCAAACCAACAGCTGCTATGGACCTCCTCCAGCAGAAGAGACAATATAAACACCTGCTGGCACGTAAGAAAAGGGAAGCCATTAAGAACACCTGAACATGACTTATTCAGGCAGTTAAATCCAATGATTCAGCCACATTCTCACATATCACATCTAGCCCACAAGGCTATGGCCCAACCATGGTGGACTGTCACATCCCCCCAGGGACCTGGGAGGCACGCTTTCAGGAACTTTACTTGGACAGCTCTGCTGAAAATGGAAGATCTAGCCAAATTATAGGAAATCTGCCTATGTGGGCTCCAGTGATGGTGACAGAGATTAAGAACTAGGTAGCTCAGCTAAAACTGTGGAAGGCCCCAGGGGAAGGCCTAATCCCACCAGAGGCCATTAAAAACAATTTGGACTTCTGGGCCCCCACTCTGGCTTCACTCTTGACCTGCATTGACACCCATGGTCAAGTCTCCAAGGACTGGGGGCTTGCAATCATTGCCCCTATATATAAAAAGCTGATGAGATAAAACAAGATATATAGTCAACATCTATTTCTGTGTGGAATGGTGGCATTTCAGTGAGAATACATACATTATATATTACCGGTACCTGTAATCCAGAAACCCAGCGGGCTGCTGCTGGATGGACAAAACAATGTTTCTCCTCCAGCAGCAGATTGCATTGTCGGGCTTCAGAGAGAGGAAGAGAAGCCTTCAAGTTACACTATTCATACTCTTTAAAAAGTGTGTTTAAGATAGCCTCTTCTATTTTTTAAAGAAAAGCAGAAACATGGGCTCCAATTTGCAATGCACATCTGGTTCAGAAAGCAGGAACAGGCCAATTTCCTGCTAAAAATCACCTTCAAGTTGCTGTTTGTGTCATAAACCCAATTGCTTTACTCTGATAGTGAGACCGAAGTACATTAACAAGTAGAGGCTATAGATCAAATCCATATAGTACAGTGGTGCCTCGCAAGATGAAAAGAATCCGTTCCGCGAGTCTCTTCGTCTTGCGGTTTTTTCGTCTTGTGAAGCAAGCCCATTAGCGGCTTAGCGGATTAGCACTATTAGCGGCTTAGCGGTCTTAACGGATCAGCTGATAAGCGGCTTAGCGGCTTAGCGGATCAGCTGTTAAGCGGCTTAGCGGCTTAGCAGATCAGCTGATAAGCGGCTTAGCAGTTTGGGGAAAAGGGGGGGAGGAAAAAAACCCTGCAGGAACTTGCAAGACATTTTCGTCTTGCGAAGCAAGCCCATAGAAATTCGTTTTGCGAAGCACCTCCAAAACGGAAAACCCTTTCGTCTAGCGGGTTTTCCGTCTTGCGAGGCATTCGTCTTGCGGGGCACCACTGTACACTTTATTTAGAAGTTTTATGAAATAAAATAAATATAAATATCCTCCCCCCGCCTCCCCCCAAAAGACTATTCAGTCTAGGGTCTAAAGTGACCTAGCTGCACCATTGTCCTTACCTCTGCAAGTATATGAAATGATTCCAGGCTGTTTGGACTGGGATTCCGTCATGTACTGGACTGGCAACTTCAGGTTGTACAATGAAAGGAGATTTGGATATGTTGTAACAAACCTACTTTCCCCCAAGACTGGATTTTTTTGCAATAAGTATAGTGTTGGGGAAATGCACAGGAAAGTGTGGGATAAAAATTGCTTGATGCAACATTCTACCACCTCCCTCCAGATAAATCAAGATGAATGCTCAGTAAGCAGCCTGTCACTCTCTTGGTTGCTCCCAGCTATTAGCATTTGCCAACAGGTGGTGTCAAAACTTTCAGTTCTTGTAATTCGTTATTTCTAATCATGTGGCACTCCTCCCACACCTCTCCCTGTTTTATTTCTCTCCGTCAGTTGAGAAATTTCATTTGCAGAGGAGAAGTTTTCTACAATGTCAGCTCTCAGGTTTGGGTTCCTTTATTTCACTAGCTATCCTATGTAGGCTTTATTAACTTGTTCTCAGAACCGCAAGTAACATTTTGCATAGGCCACATGCATTTTTGTATGCAATACTGAACTGGAAGAAGTGTACAAAACCAAGCAGGTTGCAGTCCTAAACCCACTTACCTGGGAGTCAGACTTACTTCTGAGTAGATTTGGTTAGGACTGTACTATGTGTAGATAATTTCTAACCTAATTTAATATTTTACTTTTTGCCACACTTTTATTATGCTGGAAGTTTCCCAGAGTGGGTGAGGTATAAGTAAAAAAATATTATTATTATTTAATATTCATTGAGGTTATGATTAATATCTCCTTAGCACACTGAAATGTTGTTGTTGTTTAGTCGTTTAGTCGTGTCTGACTCTTCGTGACCCCATGGACCAGAGCACGCCAGGCACTCCTGTCTTTCACAGGGTCTTTTCCAGGGAGTCTTCTCTTCTCATGAGGTGGCCAAAATATTGGAGTCTCAGCTTCAGGGCTGATTTCCTTCAGAATGGATAGGTTTGATCTTCTTGCAGTCCATGGGACTCTCATATCTACAAGTATTGCATGCATTGTGTGGCTCCCTCTCCCTTTTCCCCTCTCTCATTAATATGCTCAAGTGGGCTCTAGCACTTTGGGAAGATTTGCTTCAGCCCTCCCTAGTGACATTCTGAAGGCTAAACTAAAAAAAGTTGCTTGGAACCTTTGGGTGAAGCCATGCGCTTTAAATGTATGGTGCAGATGTGACCTTAGGCTGCAATTGTGAGAGAAAGCCTTACTGAACTTAATGGGTATTATTTCTATTATTTCTACAATTGTGCTACTGAACTTTTCCCTGGCTCCCTGTTGTTATGTATTATCTGCTATCTCTTTTGTCTGTATTGTTGCACACACCCCAATTTTTGAGCAGCAATACATTCCAGGGAGTCTGGTGCTAATCCAGGGTTTGGCTTTCTAGGAAGAAATGTTATGAATTGGGGTGAGGGGGGCAGTCCCCTTCCAGACCTGCAATCCTGTATCCAGGGCTGGTCATTAAGTGGCCACCTAGGGCACAGACTTCAGAGGGACACAGTACTGACCTTTGAGGGGCAGTTTTATATAGGTGAGTTTTTGTAATACTGTATCTTATAAATTTATGATAATCTTATTTTTCCCCACAAGACCTCTGCCTTTGAAAATTGAAATTAGCAGTTTTGTTTGTGGGGGTGCAAGTAGTTCAACCTAGGGTGTGAAATAACTTAGCACTGGTTACTGCCTGTATCTGTGAGGAATGCAGAAGGCGAAGGTTGCCAAACCACTTGCTTTGTCAAGGGAATAGCTTTTGCTGGCTAGTTAGGTGGTACGATTTAACATAGCCAAAGAAGTTGCTCTGTGCCATAGAAACCAGCCTTTCCCCTCGCCTGGCTGGTAAGTAGAAGAACAACAGTCAGAGTTGTGTGAGGGAGCTGGAAGCTGGGAAACAGAGACATGACTTGCTCTGTGCTGGACTTTGGGGCTTCCCTAGAAACCATAGCAAGATCTATGGGGTTGCTAATCCTGTGAGCGCCTCCGTCTTATGCTCTAGTTGTATATGCATATGTGTCAATAAAACCATATATCCTAACAGCACCAACAGTCTCCATTGGCCTTCACTCCAAGGAAGCAAATCCCTGGGAAGCACAGGCACCTCTGGAGTCTCTCACTGCTCAGAGATTGGGGTGGTATGTAACAGAAGGTTAATGGCTATTGAGCTGTAGGATATACAATTTTCTTTATGCATATATACAACCTGAGCATAGGATGGCATGGCTCACAGCATCAACACTCCAACAGATCTTGCCTCTCCATTAGGTTCTTAGCCCCCACCATTCTGCTGCATATCTTTGGATTCAGCACAGCCTACGGAGTCAAGCTCAGACAAACCTCAAATACCAAAATTAACATCCCTGGCCTTTTTCTTTTCCTTCCTAGCATAGCATGGCATCCAGCCAGGTAAGAAGGAAGTGGGAATACCTACCTGCTCTTTGAAGCATTTACGGTGGTCATTATGGCAACACATCTATTTATTACCTAACTTTTTAAGGTGTCAAAGCCATTCTGATCCTGATTGATTGATTATTGTTGTCATCGCTACTTATTATCTGCCCTACACCTTAAGGTCCCGGGGGGGTGGGGGTGGCTTACGACATTTAAAATGCAATTATTACGCAATATTAAAAACAGATCAAAATAACTTATTTAACCAAGGAACCAGTTTGACTGGTTCACCAGGTTTCCTCTTGTAGAGTATAACCTCACAGACGAAAAATCACAGGCCTGCAAGAGATCCACAGATATCATCCAGACTCATCTCCCAAACCAGTAGCAATATTCTTTTTTCAGATTTTTGCTTAATTGGTTTACATTTTTTTCATTTAAAGGGATTTTTTACCATGCTCTTCAGGTCAAAAAGGCTCGCTGCATGTCTTAGAAAGGAAAGTCTCTGTTCTCTGGCATAGAAATGAGGGTGCCCCCAGATTATTTTGTGGGAAAGGAGTCATGCGCACTCTGGAACTTTAGAATTCTACAGTCTAAATCCAGCTGCTGTTACTGTATTTTTTGCTCTATAAGGCTCACTTTTTCCCTCCTAAAGAGTAAGGGGAAATGTGTGTGCGTCTTATGGAGCGAATGCAGGCTGCGCAGCTATCCAGAAGCCAGAACAGCAAGAGGGATTGCTGCTTTCACTGTGCAGCGATCCCTCTTGCTGTTCTGGCTTCCGAGATTCAGAATATTTTTTTTCTTGTTTTCCTCCTCCAAAAACTAGGTGCGTCTTGTGGTCTGGTGCGTCTTATAGAGCGAAAAATACGGTATATTTTTAAACAGACTTCTTGTGGTTTGGAAAGTGATGTGGGAATGCATGAGCCAGAGGAGCAGGTTAAAAGATAGAATCACAGAATTGTAGAGTCGGGAGAGATGGTGAGGGTCCTCTAGTCCAGTGTTTCCCAACCTTGGGCCTCCAGCTGTTTTTGAACTACAATTCCCATCATCCCTGACCACTGGTCTTGCTAGCTAGGGATGATGGGAGTTGTAGTCCAAAAACAGCTGGAGGCCCAAGGTTGGGAAACACTGCTCTAGTCCAACCCCTGCAATGCAGGAATCTTTTGCCCAAAGTGGGGTTAAAATCCATGACCCTGGCGTTAATAGTCTCATGCTGTAGCATCTGAGCTACCCAGAGGAGCAGACCAAGAGAAAACCTCTATACATACCAAAGTAATATTTACGGCTGCGCTCTCTTATGTTTTAGGAAGTGGTTTGCAGGAGGAGTCTGCACATCAACAGCTCAGCTGGATGGAAAGGTGGCCGTGGTCACAGGGGCTAACACTGGCATAGGGAAGGAAACTGCCAAGGACCTCGCGCGAAGAGGCAAGTTGTCCGTCCATTCATCATCCATCACATGCCACTCAACCCAAATTGAGTGGGACATCTCTGAATTACAGAAGCCATCCTGTTTTTTTGGTCCAGTACTCTGCTGTGAGTCAGCTGGTTTGTGCCAGACCAAAAGACACTCTTTTTTGTTTTTGTTTTTTGTTTGTTTGTTTGTTTCATGCTCTCCTGCAAATTGGCTCTCTCACACCAGAGCGCTGGACCAAAAGACACTGGCTCCCACCCCTATTTTCATACATTCAAGTGTATTTTTCTTGTACATAGTAATGGTTAATTAGACAAGGGCAACTACTTCAAATGCTTGAGGTGAGCTTAAAAAAGCTGAGTATTACTCCCCTCCCACAATGATTCACAATTCATTGCTGCCTATAACATCTGCTGGCAAAAGGGCTTTTACATATATTTATATTCACATATTCATATTGTAGAATTTTTATATTATTTTATATTTTGTTCCATTAAAAGAAATTAGTCTAGAAAGACAGGACCAGGACCAAGTTTAGAAACAGCTTGTTTGCCTTATTCCTCTTTTCTATTAATTTCCCTTTTGAAGGTGGTCGTGTCATCCTTGCCTGCCGAGATATAGCAAAAGGGGAAGCAGCAGCCCGTGAAATTATAGCCGAAACAGGGAATCAGCAAGTTATTGTGAAAAAACTGGACCTGTCTGATAGCAAATCTATACGGGCATTTGCAGAAGATTTCCTAAAAGGTATGACTGACTAAAAGTTGGCACCTGTGTAGTTACTGCATAGTTTAATTACTAGGTGGTCCTGGTCCTAGAGATAATCTATGTGGAGTCAAGAGTTTCATAGGTTTTGTTTAAAATAGAGAGGTATTTGTCTGGCTTCCCTATGTGTTCTTTAAACCAGGGATCAAAAACCATTTTAGAGCAGGGGGCACATTTTGAATTTTGAGAGAGTGCTGACTGCTCCAATGACAAAATTGCTGTACAGTAATGGGGGCCATGGCTTAACACAACATGGCTGCCATAGCATAACACAAAAGAAAAGAAAAGAGAGAACAGTCATTGCTGGTTTTCCACCCTTACCCCACCCTTGGACATCCTCATGCTTAGCACAGGAAGCCATCTATGCCCTGCTGGTCCTGATTGTAGTGACACAGCTGTTAAAGGCAAAAGATTCCTGATTTCTCCATTTCTAAACAAAGCGAAGGCTGACATCCTGTAGCCATTCACCTGGTGTTATAAGTGACAAAACTGCTCCTTTCCCCTTATGGGGTACCCAAGAGCCCATATAGAGTCCTTTCATAGGTTCTCTATCAGTAGGAGAAAATAACAGAGACCAACCAGAGAATATTGAGAAGCAAAGCAGCTAGAAAGCCTGATCTTTATTGACTGTTGCAACAGGGTCTCCCCCACACACAGGAGAGAGGAGGAGGACCCAGAACCAAGGTGTGTCCGCCCTTATATAGACATTTTAAATTGCCCGCCCTGGAGTCCAAGACCACCCCCAGAAACATCATACATACATCACAGAAGGGGTTGTAGCCCAAGACCACCCCCCAGATACATCATACCTACATCACAGAAAAGGCGGTCTACAACAAACCTGAGTGCGTTGTTTATCTCCTGGCAAGTTACCTGATTGCATTATCTGGGTTTTGGCCACTCTTTTGTTATTATAACTACTTACTGTTATTCCTGAATCTAGGTCACAGGCTCACACCCTGTTCATATCTTGAATGTGCCCTTAAGACAGGATTTGTGAGGAAAGAGACAAGGGGAAGGTTTCTCACTTTGACCTTGCAGAGAAATATTTGAGGTCAATTTGTTCAGGACCTTGTCTATTGGGTTTCAGACGTGTGGTTTATATATACAGTTATCAAAAATTATTTATTTTATATATGACCTAAAAAATTTATAACACTGGGAATAACCCCTACTGAACACAGAGACATCTGAAGTAGAAATGTATCCCATTATACTGGAAATTAACAATGCTGTGAATTCTTAATAAGTACTTGGACATTAGCTTCTGCACAGCAGGAGACATGCCTGAGCCTTTTTGCAAATTTCACATTTTGTATTTGCCATTTGAGGAGGGAATTATTTAACACCAACCTGCATTTATTGTGTAATATTTACAGAAAATAACTTTTAGCAGGCACCTAATCTTGGATGAGTCCACTACAGAAAAGACGCATCCTAGTTGCTAGGGAAAAAGAAGTTCAACCTATGGAGATTCCAAGAACTGCTAGAAAATAAGACAGAAGCAGGAAAAGTACAGTAAAGGGGAGGGGTAAAGAGAAACTTTTAATGACCTCAGGGATTTCTATTGCCTGGTGTCCAAACAACTTACTTTACAGTCACCACATTGACTTCACTAATTGGCCTAAAAACACTGGCAGGTGGGAGCAGCTAAGCTGATTCATTTCACAGAAATCACTTAGAAGGGAGTCTGCACATTTTGCTTCATAAGACAGCCAGTGTGGTGTAGTGGTTAAGAGCGGTAGTCTCGTAATCTGGGGAACCGGGTTCGCATCTCCGCTCCTCCACATGCAGCTGCTGGGTGACCTTGGGCCAGTCACACTTCTTTGAAGTCTCTCAGCCCCACTCACCTCACAGAGTGTTTGTTGTGGGGGAGGAAGGGAAAGAGAATGTTAGCCGCTTTGAGACTCCTGAAGGGGAGTGAAAGGCGGGATATCAAATCCAAACTCCTTTCTTCTTCATAACTTTCCTTCTAAGAGGGCTAGAGACTTAATTTTTTAAATAGAAGCTTAGAGTCTAGGGAACCCGCCTGAGGGCACCAAAGAAGGCCTTGTGCCTGCTTGGCGATCTCCACTTTAAACCTTCCATGACACTGTTCTTGCATTTAAGAGGGGCTAACCTTTTGCTTGGAAGCTTTCCCTTGAACCTTTCTGGCACTTTGAAGCAGGAGATGGATCATTCCACAGCTTCCATTTGAATTTTGAGATGTCTTATATAAAACACCTGGCAATGTTAACTGTCAGAGACATGATAGATGGACCTTAGGTCTGACCCAGAATAGCTATTCTTATAATTGTCTCATTGCACTCTTGGGCACTCTTACTTGTAGGTCTGATTAAAAGGATGATATGCTTTTGAGTAAACACGTTTAAGCATGTATGCTACATTTTGCCTGAAAGGGTAATAATATATATGTGTGTGTGTAGGAATGTGTGTGTTCAGCTCCTTAGATATAATAAACCCTGCTAATGATAGTAGTGTTCTATCCAAAACATGTGTCACTCAGAATGGACACAGGGTATATTATATATTTAGCTAACAATAAAGATTTAGAGATAATTTTTAAATAAATAATAGTCCGTGAAAGTGGACTACTACAATTGCCAAAAGCCATTCAAAATGGGTATGTATGCACTCAGATACTTGAGCAATAAGGATACATATAATATTCACTGGAAATTACTCTGAGGTAATAGCCCATTCATATAATCCATTTCTTTCCCACTAGTGCTTCCATTTATTTATTTATCCTGTCACGTGGTCCAACAGGTGGTGGTATCTCACTATTTACCTAAACTAGTAGGAGATCTTGGCAAGAACCATCAACCCTCTGTTTGATAGAAGTTTAAATTCTCTCCACCTGTCAGTCCTGTCGGGTAAACTGTAAAGTTTTTCTGTAGACTGAGTAACAGAGTCTAATATTTCCTCACTTAGTATTTGCTAATTATTTTAATCAATTTACTATACAGTACTTCCTTGTTCCCAACATATATATTCACAGTAACCTTAAATCATAGAATTGTAGAGTTCAAAGGGATCATGGGGGTCATCTAGTCCAACCCCTGGAAAGCAGGAATGTCAAATAAAGCATCCATGACAGATAGGTGGCCATGTAACCAAATGCTAGTTACGATAAGAGCCTTGCTCCTTAAAACATCTCAATCTTCTTGTCTTTGGTATTTTCTTGGCCATTATTCCCTGTAGAGGAGAAGAAGCTCCATTTCCTCATTAACAATGCAGGAGTGATGATGGTTCCCTATTCCAAGACTGCTGATGGTTTTGAAATGCATATTGGAGTCAATCACCTTGGTAAGATCGTGAGACATCGATGTGATAAATATTACCTGGCTTCTCTTTGCCTTTGCTTATCTTCCCTGCTCTTTTCCCCAGATTTCACAGATTATTCCTGCATTTGTAAACCTGAATTTATACAGGAAAAGCATAGAGACAGGCGTTGTTGAGGGTAACACCATGAGGATTACACAAATTAAATTTGAACGCAAAAAGTTATAGACACACTGTAAACTCCAGTATGGACAGGCCCCAAGTCACAGTCCCCTGGAGATTTAATTAAATTATTTATGCTGTGCCCATCTTGGTTGAATTTCATATATTCATTTGAACTAACCAGCCAATTTTTTGGTTATCTATTTCTAGTTGATTTATAGTACAGTAAAATTAATGTCATTTTGTTTGATTTTTTTAAAAAAACCATAATGTGTTTACATTATTGTGAGTACTATTTTGTTCTAAAGGTTAGTTTTACATTATACATATGTGTGCCCATAAGCTCTAGAAAAAGGTAAAGGTAAAGGACCCCTGACAGTTACTGTAAGTCCAGTCACAGACGACTCTGGGGTTGCGGCGCTCATCTCACTTTACAGGCCGAGGGAGCAGACGTTTGTCCTCAAACCATTTTTCCACGTCATGTGGCCAGCATGACTAAGCTGCTTCTGGCGAAACCAGAGCAGCGCACGGAAATGCTGTTTACCTTCCTGCCGGAGAGGTACCTATTTATCTATTTGCACTTTGACGTGCTTTTGAACTGCTAGGTTGGCAGGAGCAGGGACCGAGCAATGGGAGCTCACCCTGTCGCGGGGATTTGAACTGCCGACCTTCTGATCGGCAAGCCCAAGGCTCAGTGGTTTACACCACAGCGTCAGCCACGTCTGAAAGAGGTGTGTGCTGCCAAAGCTGGCATAGATAAAACTCCAAGCTCGCTGCCAGTTACAATCTTTTTGATTTATTTACAAAGTTCAAAAGAACGTTTCCAGAGCTTCAAAGCATGTCCGACCCTGTCAGCAAAGATGCCTCGCCTGGCTTTTTTTTTACGTTTTCTTGCCCAACATGCTAGTCGGTGGAAACCCCGCCTCTGATTTCCTCTGTTCAAAGAATAACTGGTTCCGGGCTCAGCCTCCCTCCTCCCTGCCTCCTCTTCGCTGTCAGACGACAGACTACTAATTATCTCTTTCGGCTCTCTATAAGTGCTGGTCTCTCCCCTTAGCTCTTTTGCCGTTTGCCTCTCCCTGACAACGTCAGTAAGCTCTAGTAAATAATTGTAAATCTCCTCTCCCTTTAGGGCATTTTCTCTTAACATTCCTGCTGCTGGACCGTTTGAAAGAGTCAGCCCCAGCTCGGATAGTGAATGTGGCTTCGCACCTCCATGCTTCTTGGCGGATAAACTTCAAGAACCTGCAGGGAGAGAAATACTACAATGGGTTCCTGGCATACTGTCAAAGCAAACTGGCTAATGTTCTGTTTACCAGGGAGCTGGCTCGTAAATTGCAAGGTGAGCTTTAAGAATGAAATGCTAATGGCGCACAACCACTCATATGTACGTATATAATAGGGTTGCCCATAGCCAAAGCCTGGATGTGAGAGGAAGGGGTAGTCACAGATTACTGAAAGGTTGCACGCATGAGAGACACCCCAATCTCCAAGCGGAGAGAGATTCTAGGGATACCAGCACTTACCCAGTGTTCAGCTTTCTTGGAATGAGCTCAGTGGAGACTGTGGTGTCTTTAAGATATATGGTTTTATTTACACATACATACAATCTCAGCATATGATGGAGGGATTCATAGCATTAGCACAGCATAGATCTTGCTTCCTCATTTATTTGCTGGGAGCCCCCAAGTCCAGCCCAGAGGTAAACATGCCTCTCTCCCAGGCGCTGCAGCATCTCCCCACTTCCCCTCTCACTCGCAAGCAGCTTTCCAGCTCTCAGCTCCTTTGTTGTCCTTTTGTCACCTAGATGCAGCTAATTTCAACATAGCTCATTCCTTTGAAGTGAAGCAGAGCACTACAGTGTCTATCTGGTCTTTGAATTTAAAGAGCTTGCCTGACTGGCTCCCAACCTCCCCCAATCTTGTAACCATAGCTGGGATGAAATTTAATGGAAGCATCAGAATGAAATGACTCTGCATTTAAAATTCCTTCTGGGAAAACTATTAAAAGTATGATTTGGAGCCGTTGGTAGAGAAAAGGTTAGGCATCACCACATCACCTCTATGTTTCTCATTGCCCCAATGAGGAATTTTAAATATTGCACATTGAAAGGGGCCATTGGGCTAACATGACATGCATTTTGTAGGCACTGGATGTCTAAATTGTCCTAATATTGTATCTTACCCGTGCCATTGCCAGTGGCTTCTAATGTTATCTAAATTAAGGGTTTTCAGTGATTTATGAATCCACTTTCCACAGTCTCAAATGCTTCTTTATCCCCAAGGATGTTTCAGCCAAGCCATCTCACTGCTGTCTTTCCTCTCAATTCAAACTCAAACTGGTTCCGAAGTGCTTATTTGCTCCCTATGGCAAGCTCTGATAAGTGTTGCTAGTTCCCAAACTGTGCTGGGCATTACACTTCAAGACTGCAGGGAGAGAGGGAGATCCCCAACCATCAAGACAGATTAATATTCTGTTCATCCCCCCCCCCCCAATATGTAAACCATTCATTTGGTATGCTATAACAGATTTCAATTTAAGAGATGTTAACTTTTTGCTGTTTTATTTATATATATATTTTTGTGGTTTTTTTTAATGGCTTTGTTAAACCCTCGATACTAATTGAGTGCTGCACAAGGTTCTGTGCATTGCAATGATATTGTGTGTATTACAGTGAAAAGACTGGCCAAATACTAGCTGCCTTACAGGGTACATGGGAACAATATTACTCCTTTCCTTTTGAACCTTTGGATTCATATATTTCGGTTGATGTTTCTGCTTTATGTTTTTCTAGGCACTGGAGTTACTGTCAATGCTATACATCCTGGTGTGGTTGATTCTGAATTGTCGCGTTACTCATATTCGTCAGGAATTTTTAAAGCGGTGTTTAGGTTCACGTTTAAGACACCAAAAGAAGGAGCCCAGACCAGTATTTACTGTGCAGTGGCAAAGGAACTGGAGTCAGTGAGTGGGCAATATTTCAGGTGGGTCTGGGATTGTGATTTGCAGTTGGAATACAGACATCTGGATTCAGCACATCTGGATAAAGTTTTCTGTGGTAATGCTCAGAGGTGCCCACATCAGACCCAGAAGGCAATATTAAAATGGCACATTGCACATTAAAAGAAAGAGATCATATGCAATAGCTCTAACTTAAAAATAGCAGCGTGGACATGGGTTGTGAGAAGTCTTTGCCTCTGGTACAGCAGTCACTGTGCAATTGCTCCTTTGAACTAATAAAGGTAAAGGTAAAGGACCCCTGACAGTTAAGTCCAGTCATGAACGACTCTGGGGTTTTGACGCTCATCTCGCTTTACTGGCTGAGGGAGCCGACGTTTGTCCGCAGACAGTTTTTCTGGATCATGTGGCCAGCATGACTAAGCCGCTGCTGGCGAAACCAGAGCAGCGCATGGAAACGCCATTTACCTTCCCTGACAGAGCGGTACCTATTTATCTACTTGCACTTTGACGTGCTTTCGAACTGCTAGGTTGGCAGGAGCTGGGACCGAGCAACGCGGGGATTTGTCCTAGGCCCTAGGCTCAGTGGTTTAGACCACAGCGCCACCCGCATCCCATCTTCGAACTATACAGAAGCTATACAGAAATAACAAAGCTATTATCAGGAACATCCAGACAGAACAAAAGCCCTTTTCATACATAGTCGATTGGGGGGGGGTGTCATATACCAAAATTTGCCCCTTACTTTTTCAATGGTGGGCAGGACAGCTTCTGTATCTTGTGAACTACCCTGAGTATTTCGGATGAAGGGCAGTATATAAATTTAATAAACAACACCAACAATAATTCATTATTATTTTTTGTAACTTGAGAAATGACAAGCAGCTTTGCTGTCAGTGGGCTGGCCACTAATTCCTTCACTTTCGAATGATTCGGATGCAGCTTCAGTTGGGGGGGGGGAGCTGCAACAAAGCCATAGTGTCTCCTTATCGGCAACCACCATGTTTTGTGGCAACTGTCTCAGCCACCAATGACTGCAAAAATTAGGCAAAGTGCAGTGGACAGTGCCCCATACAAAAACAATGAAAACATCCCCTTTGTTCAGGAGTTTGAATTTGCTCTGATGTGATCACTCAGTTAATAGGTTTGGCTATTCCTCATCTTGCTTGTCAACCCTATTGAATTGTCTGAGACTTACTTCTCAGTAAACATGTATAGGATTGTGCTGCTGGGGTAACCTTAGCCCACTGTTGTCCATAAACCCGATTTGCTGTCATATTGATTTGGGAAATACGCTCAATGTTTAATCAGAATTCTGATTCTTCGATGGTTTTGAATGGCTTAACAAATGATTAACAAAGTGCCTAATAAATATTTATTTTTTTCTTTCTACAGTGACTGTAGACCAGCCTGGGTTGCTCCTCAGGCTCGTAACAAAGAGACCGCAAAAAAGCTCTGGCAAGTCAGCTGTGAGCTGATGGGCATCCAGTGGGAGTGAACTGGGGTGGGTCTGTGGTTGACATTCGTAGACAGAATGTGAAGGCAACCAGAAAGAAATAAAACTATCCTTATCTTCTCATGTGTAGATGTCAGTGTCTAGCAGGCACTTTATAAACATAGATTGTATATTAATAAAATATGTTCTAATCTACACTGAGTTCTACTCTTTGGTGACCTGAAGACAGTGATACTTAGCTGCCAACACATAACTGCTTCCCTGGGGGGGAAGTGAATCTGCCCTAATTGGTTTGTCATATAACTTTCACATGTAAACCTGTTAGATTGGTTGGATTTTGAGAAATTATCCCTACATAGAGGAGGGCAAAAGTATTTTTTTTATG